AAAAGGACTCCATAAGCCTTTCAACACTGTAGCATGCAGTACATAAGCATCAACATGGACTGCACACATATTTAGCTATTTTCTGAAAAGTTATACAGAAAACACAGGTTGAGGATCCCTTAACTAAGATGCTTTGGACTAGAAATGTTTTGGATTTCAAATTTTCCTTTATGCATTTTGGAATATTTGTTTGTGTGTTTGCATGCACACACAAATACAGATAACATTATGTAACACAATTTTTCTTCCTGGATTATAAATGTCATTTCCTAATTAGTTCTATCATAAAAACATGGAAAAGGTTTATTAAACTACAAAAACTTTGCTTTTGTCTTCACACTGAAAGGTTAAAAATGGCATATTTTCATTAAGAGAAATTACAAATGATGTGCCTCAACTGGAGGAAATAATAGTACTACCCTCTGGAGTACAACAACTACTTGCAAAGTAAGAACTACACAATTAAACTGGAAATAACACTTTTAAAACAGGAGCAGAATGTTTTTCAAATTTTGTTACATAGTGTAATGAAATAGCTTTGAGATGAGATGTACCATATATACTCGAGTATAAGCCGACCCGAATATAAGCCGAGACACCTAATTTTACCATAAAAAAATGGAAAAGTTATTGACTCGAGTATAAGACGAGGGCAGGAAATGCAGCAGCTACTGGTAAATTTCAAAAATAAAAATAAAAAATAGATGTCAATCAAATTACATTAATCAAGGCATCAGTAGGTTAAATATTTTAGAATATTTACATAAAACTGTAATGTAAGATAATAATAAGACTTTATTATTTATTTATTTATTTATTTATTTATTTAAAACATTTATATTCTGCCCTTCTCACCCCAAAGAATACTCAGGGCAGAGCATATATATAGCAAACATTCAATGCCGGGACACAAATTCTTATATACATTCATAAACATTAAAAACATTTATCAAAATATTAAAATAAATATTAAAATCTTTCCTATTGCTGCTTTATTGCCCTGTCCCGAAAAATTGGTCCCACAGCCAAGTTTTTACCATCATTCTAAAGGACTGGAGAGAGGGGGCTGACCTGATCTCACCAGGAAGGGAGTTCCATAGCCAGGGAGCAATCACCGAGATGGCCCTGTCTCTCGTCCCCACCAATCTCTTATCCCCACTTTAATAAGATAAGACTGTCCAACTCTGATTACCTATAAACTCGAGTATAAGCCAACCCAAATATAAGCCAGCTAGGACACTCATGCGAGTATAAGCTGAGGAGGGCTTTTTCAGCATTAAAAAGGCTGAAAAACTTGGCTTATACTTGAATATACACTGTAAGTCTAACCAAAATTCAATCATATTTCATATACACTTGAATGTAATTTTATACACAGTATTTTGAATAATTTTATGCATGAAGCAAAGATTGGGTATATGGAATCATTAAAAAAAACTATCTCAGCCACCCATGTGGACAATTTTAAATTTACTGATTAGTGTATTTTCTGTTTAAAACCTGCTTTTTAATGAAAGAGTTTTCTCTGTATTTCTTTTCTTCTTCTAAAAGTTCTCTTTGCATAATAAAAACAAATCTGTGTTTACCAATATACCTACATGAATTCAAAGACAATAAAGTTGGAAGTTTAAAAATATTTAAGTAAACAAATATATATATTTATAGTGGCAGGAAACAATCACTGAATGAGATACAGTGGCAAAGTTTGCTGTTAACAAGAAAGCTGAACAAGCTTACTGCTGTTGCTTTCACAAAGAAGGGATTAGGGCAGTGAGCCTGTGGTTTTTTTATTCTATTTTACAGACCATGTGGTTCTAAGCACTGTGTAGTTCGGAGCGCAACAATGGATAAGAGATGAAGCTTACTTTAATATGTTAATAATGGGTATTCTAGCTTCAGACAGCTGGTGAATTATTTATTTACAACTGCAAGTCTCTGTCTTCCTTCCCAAACATTGCACAAGCACATATCCATTATAAACAATTCTAGAAAGAAAATTCTCAGCAGGTAGAGATTGTAATGCAGCTTAAAATACCACTAATGGCTTTTAATGCAGAAGAAGCTAAGCCTGAAGAGCATTATGGATTTTCCTCCACTGTGGAAATAACTTATTCCATGTTACAAATAATCTGGGCTCTCCCCTGGTTTTTATGCCACATAATGCACAATTGAGTGTTATCCTTTGAATCTTACAAACAAAAGCATTGTTTCTCTGTAACAAAACAGACATTCTCAAAGGTTCTGATAGTATGTTTGGATCATCTTCTTCAACCTGCTGCACACCAAACATGTTGAATTAGAATTCCCATCCTCCCCATCTGGCAAGCGATGCTTTAAACTAGAGATTTTCAAACATTTCTTGTTGGTAACACACTTTTTAGACACGCATCATTTCACAACACAGTAATTCAGTTTTTCTAGCAAAGTGGAAGTCAAAACCCACCCCTTATAATAGATGTGGACACATACATAAATGGTAATAGCAAAATGTATGGGGATGCAACGTATCTCATGGAAACCTTTAATGTATATATCTTTAAATATATAGAATCACAGAGTTGGAAGAGACCTCATGGGTCATCTGGTCCAAACCCCTGCCAAGAAACAAGAAAATCGCATTAAAAGCACCCCTGACAGATGGCCACGCAGCCTCTGTTTAAAAGCCTCCAAAGAAGGAGCCTCCATCACACTCCGGGGCAGAGAGTTCCACTGCTGAACAGCTCTCACAGTTAGGAAGTTATTCCTAATATTCAGGTGGAATCTCCTTTCCTGTAGTCTGTAACCATTGTTTCGCATCCAAATAAATATATGATTTATTGCTTTTTTCACATAGACTCAAAAGACTCTCATTATGATTCATGCAACACAACTACACACTGCAGCCAACACACTAAAATGTCAAAACACACCATTTGGAAACTCTACTCTCACACAGCCAAATGGCATGAAAGTAGATAAAGATGGGAAGAAGTCACATCAGCTCAGTTATCCATTGCTGCTGTTTCAAAGTATTACGTTCTTACAAAGTTTGATGTCTTTTAATGTATACATAAGCTTTTTTTAAAAAAAAAAGTAGCAGCACTTGTATGCCACAAAATATAACTAGTAATATGACTACTGGGCTCCTTAGACTAGCCACACAAAGATCACTTTTGTCAGAAGCTCAAAGAAACAGAAATGAGTGGAGAGAGAACATATTATATTTCACCCTCTGACAATAGATACCTTTATGTGGTTTGAGTAAGGAGTCTGGCAAGATGCTAATTTGGGACAGGCAACTATTCTTTCCAGCTCAGTAGATAAATGCTCATCAACCAAAGCCATGTTTTATAGAAATACAGCCCACTGATCTAAATAGAACTTATTTCCAGGCAAGTCTGGTTGCTGAAACTTTGTATAGCAATTCATAAAAAGTAATGACACTGAAAACCATCTCTTTTTGTAAAACTTTTCCTAAACAATCAAGGAAATGTCATCCTATCCTTGACTTTGCCTTCATTTCACATTTAAATTGATTTCACCTGTCTTTGGTGATATCATGTAGCAAAATTTGGCAGGGTAAATAATGTTTATGATATCCTCTTCTACGCTTTCAGTTCTGATTAGCTGGTAAACCACTGCTTTATTCTAACTGTACTTAGTAACACATGTCAACATGTACTTGTATAGCATCGGAAGCATCCTGTTTATATTACAGGTACTCAGTCTAAGGAATCAATGCAGAAGAAACAGTGGCAGCTAAGGGGGAAACTGTCAAACCAATGGTAGCCTGGGATACTAATGGCTGAGAACATGATTGATATGATTAATATTTGTAATATTGGTATTACATATCTTTACTGTAGGCTGAAATTCACTTCTTTCCCTGCCCCCAGCATGCTCCTTAATAGGAGAGACATTTTTGCCCTCTTTCTCATAGTGGAAGAATAGAGATTATTGGCAGTACATCAATGTGTAGGAAAGCCAACCAATTAGGAGTCACTGCATTTTCCCCACATATTCTCTGTAAGGGACTATACTCAGTGCTAGAGAACCTTTCTGCAGAAATTCAGCTTCCCACCATCTTTTATCCATGATAAGAAGAGTTTTCAAGTTGTTCCTATTGAAACTGAGCAGGAATGTTTTGGTACTGTTGTAAGATTTCTGTAGGATCACACTCTTCCTTGCCCATGTCATGCTGCACTTAGTGAAAGGGGGCAAAAGTTCAGTTAATCTTGATACGGCTGATTTGGCGTTTAATTGTCTCTCGTTTGGATGTTTTGGCTTTTACTTAATCTCTGCTCCATCTGCTTGGCATTTAATTATTTCCAATTTGGTTGCTTCGGCGTGCAGATCACTTTTTTTGGAAGCACAGTGTGAGGTCGAGATATTTGCTTTGGGCTTTTGTGAGCATATGGATGCCTTCGTGCACGAGGGATTTGCTCATCCTGACCCTCCCTCACAGCCAGCAGGTCTGAAGAGCTTTGGAGAGGGAAATATCCTTGGGACTTGGCAGCCAATCAGCATTTAGGGGCTTAGCCATCATGGTGCGCTTTGTCTGCCAAGTCCTCTCTTCTGCTTACTCATTTGGGAATGAACAATGACAAGATGCATTGGGGATTTGCTTCAGGGTGTTTCGCTCTATTGCAAGGTCAGTGGAATACATCCTAGCATCCACCTTAAGATCAGGATTCCTGCACTGTTTGACATTACCCTTGGTAATTATCCTCACCTCTGAATCTGTTGAACGATAAGGCTGTGCCATCCCAGAAAGCAAGTATAGCCTCGATTGACTTCATTCCTGGTAGGACTATGTCCTTCCAGGTCTTGAAAGAACTGACCACCATGCAATCACATGCTTCAGTACAATCCCATCTTATATGCATCCACTTTTCAAGATCCCAGAATCAAGGTCAAAAAGCAAAATAATACAATCTTACTGGCCAAATATACTCAAAGCAAAATGGATGAAACAAAAACAGTTTAGTTTTGTTTTTTCTCCATGAAATTGGCAGCATTACCTGATTGGACGATTCTCTTTACTATCAAAAAGTGAGAAGATTACTTCCAGTTCCTCTCCCAGATTGGAACACATCAGGCTCTTCATCTGAACAAAGAGATGGTGGCTGCTTGCTGGAATAGGTGTGTCTTTCTTGCGATGACGGTGCTCCATCTAGGCATAGACATCAACAAAAATTAGTCGTCAATTGATGATTACTTGAAATGAAAATATAGTACTGTGGAGAATTGGCAGCTGGTGGTTTCCATATCAGTAAGTATTAGATACATTCCAACTTTTACACTTAACTTTAAAGGCGCTATCTTTCAAGGAGTAGATAGCACCTGAACAGGTTCAGGATCTTGGATGGGTCTTTTTAATTGAAACTAAAACATATGACCTCACAATCTCTGAGGATGCCTGCCATAGATGCAGGCGAAATGTCAGGAGAGAATGCGGCTAGAACATGGCCATATAGCTCGAAAAACCTACAACAATCCAGTGATTCTGGCCGTGAAAGCCTTCGACAATACATTAAAACATATTACCACTGCCGAGGAGTAATATAAAATTGAAGATTACATTTTCTCACCATGTCATGTAATGTTTTGTTCATAAAACCCAAATGTTAACCTCACAAACTTATGGTAATTTTAAGTGGTTTTCTTGTAAGGTTATACAGGGAAGAGCTTGGCTTGCCCCTTGTAGAGGTCCTCAAGTTATGGCTAAGTTTGATAGCCAACCAACACTTTTAGTAAACAACATTGACTCCATTTAATATATTATTTTTATTTACTTGCTTAAGTTATATCCCACTTTCCTTCCAATAAGAGACCCATTTATTCCAATTTGTCATTCTAAAGTTAATACATTGTTTTGTTCTATGGGGCTCACAGGTAACATATAGTCCTCTCCCTTGACCTGTGTTATCCTCACAATCTGTAAGGTTGAATGAATTGAGGGAGAGAGGGAAATGAAGGAGAGGGAGAAGGAAATTGAGAGTAATTTATCCAAAGTAAACTTTAATGCTTAACAGAGCTTTGTAGCTTGACCATTTTTGTTTTGTGTTAACTCTATATCAAACTTTTTTTGTGTGCCAGGAGCAACTTGAGTAACTGCAAGTCACTTCTGGTGTGAGAGAATGGCCATCAGCAAGGATGTTGCCCAGGGAATGCCCAGATGTTTTAGCATCCAGTGTCCTTGCATGGGAAGCTGGAGCTGACAGATGGGAGGTCATCCCATTCCCCAGATTTGAACCAAGGAGCTTTCAGTCAGCAGTCCTGCCAGCACAATGAGCTATGGAGGGCTCCTATATCACACATTATAACCCTATATCACGCATGATAACAGATACCAAGTTAGGGTAATTTTTTGGAAATGTTCTACTCCAAAGATTCTGGAAAGAAATTATTTCAAATAATTTTACCGACTTATGGATACTAAACCTGAAATTTGGTGCTATTTTGAAAAGGGAACACTGGCCTCCCTTGTACTTGTGGGCCAATTTGTTTATAAAGCTTCGCTTAGTGTTCTGGCAAAATTATGGATTTCCCTCCACTATGGAAATTATCTTCAGTGCCATGCTACAAATAATCTGGCTTCTTCTGCTGTTTTCATTACACATATTGCATATTTCAGTGATATATCTTTTCACCTTTGGAAAGAAAAGCATAGCTAGGCAGTAATGAAATGGAAGTTTGAAAAAGCTTTTCATAACGTATACAAAAACAGTCACCTCAGCAATTTAGCTATTTAATATGGCTATTTCCAAGAATTCTCATCTTGAATATTCTGATGCTTTAACATAAACATAATTTTTAAAAACAAAAACCAAGCTGTGTGGCTTTAAAAAAAACGCATTACTCTTTAGCAAAACATTTGCTAAAGCATTTGCTTTAGCATTTTCCTCTGTTAGGTATTGGATCCCTGAGTATGAGATAATTTTACCTTTTTGTAAATAATATTATTATTATTACTATATTATTATTATTTCATTTTCATAGTTTTATAACATAAAGAAAAGGGAAACAAAGGAAGGGGAAGAAGGAAAAAGGAAATGATGGGAGACAGCAAATAATGAACTATGTTAGCCATGGAGTTTTATTAGTAAATGAATTCTAAACATGAGTCTATTGTATCATCAGGGGCGTGAAGAGGGAGGGAATTATTATACATATTCTTTTACATATAAAGAAGTTCCATCTACAATACCTTCTATTCCAAAAGCAAATATTCTTATCATCTGGTGTTCACATTAATCTTTTTTGTCTTCCTATTTTGTCCCATCTTTTCCTTATCTTCTCCTTTGGGCCTGTATTATAAAGTGTTCCTTCTAATTGTTTTATCAGTTTGCTTATACATACTGTATTTCTCCCTAGTTAGATTAATAATATCCTTCCATTTACATACCTTAAGAGTCAGTTGTTTTGTTTAAACATTAGTAATACGTATATAAATACTAATTGTATTTGTCTATCTTCTATGCATATTCTGTATATATAAATGTGTGCATGTATGCATATATTATTCAATAACAGGCGCACCCGGTGGCACAACGGGTTAAACCCTTATGCTGGTAGAACTGCTGACTGACAGGTTGGCGGTTCAAATATGGGGAGCAGGTTGAGCTCCCGTCTCAGCTCTAGCTTCCCATGGGGGGGACGTGAGAGAAGCCTCCCACAGGATGGTAAAACATCAAATATCACGTGGCCAGTTCTCACACACCAAAAGCGACTTGCAGTTTATTGTCAAAGGCTTTAATGGCCAGAATCACTGGGTTGTTGTAGGTTTCTTGGGCTGTATGGTCATGTTCTAGAAGCGTTCTCTCTTGACGTTTTGCCTGCATCTATGGCAGCCATCTTCATAGGTTGTGAGATCTGTTGGAAACTAGGAAAATTGGGTTTATATATCTGTGGAAAGTCCAGGGTGGACTTTCCACAGATTTACACCTAGCTCCAACAGAAAGTCCACTTTGGACTTTCCACAAATATATAAACCCAATTTTCCTAGTTTCCAATAGACCACACGACCTCTGAGGATACCTGTCTTAGATGTAGGTGAAACATCAGGTGAGAATGCTTCTAGAACATGGTCATACAGCCTGAAAAACCTACAACAACCCAGACTTGCAGTTTCTCAAATCACTCCTGACACGAAAAAAATCTATAATATCCACATCATTGAAATTATATACACTTCTCTTATGTTATTAGAGATATTAACCCAGCAATTACCTTCAGTCTTTTGTGATTTAGAATACAGAATACAACCAAACATTATTCATATTGTTTTTAATTCACAAATCCTGCTAGGATCACATTCTTCTGATTTTTTACAAAGTCCATAAAAGGTTTACATTCTTCCTGCAGTTTCTGTGAGTTAGTTTGTTGTAAAATTAAAGTTAATTTGTCAATTTCAGCCATTTTAAAAAACCTTTGCAATCCAATCATCTGTTATTGGTATGGTTTGCGGCTTCCATACAATTCTTGAATATAATTCTTGAAGAATGTCATTAAATGATAATTAGGGCAGAGAGCCAGAATGATGTAGCAGTTTAAGCATTGGGCTATGATTCTGGAGACTACAGTTTGAATCCCCACTTAACATTTACATTTTGTTATAATGCAAAAGTACAAGACGATATACAGATGGTATTTATTTCCAAACCAGTTGTCAAGAATGTCTGTGTCCTTCAAATCCATGTCTCACATCAGTTGGGTGGGTGGTCAGAATTCTTTTGTGTTTTAGTGAATTTGTGACTAATTAAATTGTGTTTATTGTAACAGAGTGTTTTTTTAATAAGGTGTCATAATATTAGGTTTGTGCAATTTAGTTACTACTATATATAGGTATCATGCCTGTATACAACAGTTCTTATTCTTTTCTTTTGTATGCTGACCATTTGTTGTGAATTAATCTGTTTGTTTTAACATATTTTAAAACTTGGTTTAAATTACAATTAAGGGTAGTAAAGTAGAATATCTGTTCATGATAAAGTGATACACAGGATACATCTAAACAACTGAATTATTGCAGCTTGACACCACTTTTAATGCCATGGCTCAACGCTATAGGACCCTGGGATTTGTGGTCTGGTAAAGCATCAGCACTATTTGGCAGAGAAGGTTAAAGACTCCCATTATTCCATAGCATTAAGCCATGGCAGTTAAAATGGTGTCAAACTGCATTACATCTAGAGTATAGATGCAGTGTACAATAAAGAGTGCATGTTCCCATGACCCAATTCCAATTTCTTAATCATAGTAAACAGCTAGGTTATATCTGCTGCAGCATCTAATGCAAAAACATCAATGAACTTAGAGAACTGGGTTACTTACCAGTCTATATAGCTCTGTAATACTGATTTCTTCTGGGTCTACCATTGCATATTCCTTTCTTGGCACCAAGTCTAATCCCAGTTGCCTGTAAGTGAATATGGAAGATCTGCTTAGTGATGTACATTTATATCTAATTTCTATGTGTTGCAATACTTCAAAATCAACAATGGGGGGGGGACCCAATATGCATTTTCTATGGGGTGCAATCCAGCACAAGAACTGTCGGAACACAGATGCTTTAAGGGGCCAGACTCAGAGTTAGTTCCAAAACAGAGTTTATTAAAGCAAAGGAAAAGACTCAGAGACACTTAACTCAATGCCTCTGGTCAAAACTCAAAGGTAAAACCAGCCCTGGTTCAAAAGGGTAAACCAAAATATTATCCGGATTATCCGGAAAAAAGAACCAAATCAAACACAGTACTCTGAAGTCACAAAAAAAAAAAACCACAGCATGCAAATGGTTAACAAAACAGAGAAGCCGCAGGGAAGAAAGCGTAGTCAAGTGAAGTCCAGGGTTGTAGCAAGCAGAATCCGAAGTAGCGAAGTTCCAAAATCCACAGAAGCAGCGTCATAGTAAATTTGGTCCAAGGTCAAGGAAGGGAGAAATCCACACTCACGAGAATCCAATCCGAGTCGAAAGCACACACGAACAGGAGCAGCAACCTGCAGATCCCAAACCCAATGCCAAACGCGAACAGGCAGCGACAAGTCCAAACAGTACCCAATGCACGAACGTATACCAACACCTTGCCTTCTGCAAAGATTCCCCATTTCTGAACCCACTTTTATTACACATCACCATTATCAGAAGATGAACTGACCACTGCCCCATGATTATTCCTTGCAGCTGCTCCCAACTCTTCACGTGAAGTCCCATGCCCATCCTTCCATCTTCTCCATCTCCTGTTAAGACTTAGATCCCCCCAAGACTCAGCTGTATTCCCCGATTGCCAATCTTCACTTCCAGAGAATCCCATAAATGTATCACGAGATGTTGGTTCTGCACAAATAGCTTGCACTTCCTTTACCTTAGTCCAATCCACAGTGTCATCCCCGTTTTCCCCACTCTGTGACCCATCATCCCCAGAGAAACCCTTAAATGATTCCTCATCCGTAGGTGCCATAAGTATATCCCGGATCCTCTTCCTCTGTCGCTCCTCATCCGATTCCTGCTCCTGAGTAACCCTCTTTCTTCCTCTATTCCCATCCATTGTGTCTCCCTCCTCTCCTTCACTCATTGACCTTTCATCCCCAGAGAACCCCTCGAATGAGTCCTCATCTGTAGATGCCATATGTATATCCCGAATCCTTTTCCTCTGTTGTTCCTCATCTGACTCCTGCTCATGAGTAACCCTTTTTCCCCTTCTGGCACCCATACTACTGCTTGCAGTGTTACTTACAGGCTCTACTACAACAAGAACAATATTAGAAGCAATCTCAGCTACTACTATTGATACAAAATTTCTGATGGTTCAAAATCTTTCACATGCAGTTATCTTGTAATCTTTACAAGAAAGAGAATACCTAATTATTTTCTAATTTACAGACTCATTTCTGTTATAAAAGAAAACGCAGCTGGAAGTTAAATAATAATACAGATGATGAGAAGTGACAGAGGAAATATCTGGAGAGGGAAACAATGGTGATGAGAATATAATACATTTTGGAAATAATCATTAGTCTTTTGTCTACAATTCAAATGGTTCATCAGCTCTTTGTATTTCCCAAGGACATGGCTTTCAATCTATGTCTTTTCCATATATCTTCTCACTTTTTTGACCTTGCAGTTTACAATACATAGAATTCAATGTTCTGTATGGTTGAATAAAAGATGTGTGCTAAAGATCAAGGGGCCACCATTTCTGCAGCCCTTCATGACACATTGCAGGGTTATCTTATCATAGGACTAGGTAGCTTCTAAAGAATTGTAATGAGAAGACAATTCAGAAAATGTTCATACTTGTTCTAGTAGTTTGACTCAACCTTCCAGTAACTACATTATTAATTATTTATTTGAAACATTTATATTTCGTCCTTCTCACCCCTAAGGGGACTCAGGGCGGAGCACAACATGCCAATGGCAAACATTCCATGCAGGGACATAAAATAACTATAAATATATGCAAACATTAACATCAGTCATATATACTTCAAAATCAGCTGTTTAAAACTATCTCAAGACATCATGCTGGCTCCGTTCAGCGGAGTAAGGTCCCTATTATTGCATCACTGCACTGCCCCAAAGGCTTGGTCCCACAGCCAGCTCTCTACCATCTTTCTGAAGGATAGAAGGTAGGGGGCTGAGCTAATCTCATCAGGAAGGGAGTTCCATAGCCAGGGGGCAATCACTGAGAAGGCCCCCTCTCTCATCTCCACCAAATGTGTCTGTGACCATGGCAGGACTGAGAACAGGGCCTCCCCAGAAGATTTTAGTCTTTGCAGTGATTCATAAAGGGAGACGCATTCGGACAGGTAAACTGTGCCGGGGCCATTTAGGGCTTTATAGGCCAAAGCCAGCACTTTGAATTGTGCCCAATAGCAAAAGGCAGCCAGTGGAGCTGACATAACATGGGGATTGTGTGCTCCCTGTATGACCCCATGTTTTCAGAAGACCAATACCTGTGATTTCATGTTTCAATTTCTTACAAGATATGGCCTCTTAAGGTATTTTCTAGATCATCAGTACATGTCTAAAATATTATTGGGATGAAAGTCCTTCATTTCAATGGTGTTTTCTATCTCCCTGTTTTGTGTATCCACCACAATTAGAGGGAGCGTACTGTAAACAGTGCAACAGTTGCCCGAGTAAAAATAATGTTACCAGATGGTATAAACATGATTTACTCACCTGTTAAATATTTCAAAGCAATGGAAACACTTTAAGCATCTTTGATTTTTAAACTGTACAAGGAGCTCCTTTGATTTAATGGATTAAAGCTCTCGTAGGAATGTCTACAGCTGCCTGTCACCTTACTTCTGAACAACCAGTCGGCAAACCGATTATGCAGAAAAAGATGCCAAATCTGTGCAGGAAATCTTTCTCCTTTTATAAAAATGCATCTCTAAAATCTCCTTGCTAACAAATTGCTTATTATGTAAATTAATCTTCATCCATTAAACCACTTTCAAGGATGTCACATCATTCTCCCAACTTTACTCCCCATTCACTCTCAGTCCATTCAGCGACTGAAAGCAACACTCCTTATGCCAGTGGTTCTTAACCTGTGGGTCCCCAGATCTTTTGGCCTTCAACTCCCAGAAATCCTGGGATTGGCTGGGATTTCTGGGAGTTGCAGGCCAAAACACCTGGGGATCCACAGGTTGAGAACCACTGTCTTAGGCTATCAATGTGAGGGATCCATAATAGATTCCTCTAATATGCTAGGTACCAATACCATATTTGGGGCCATTGGCAACAGCTGTTCCTTTCTCTCCTTCCCCACCAAACAAACTCTCCATGGACCAAATACTGATGGTTAACAGACCAGTGCCAAGCAAGAGGCTACCACTTTAAGTAGCACTTACCTAAAAGACATTAACGTAAACATTCCTAAACATGAGAGGCCATAGAAAAATAATCCACACAGCTGACAACACAGACCAGAAATATTGCAAAAGAAATGATTACAATTGCACTAAGGTTTCTGTGTAAATGTGTATAAATGGCTATCTCAGGACCTAACTTTAGAATTCAGACTGAATTCTCAGATACAGAAATGCTAAGTATTAATATTCTCTCCACTGTTAAGAGAGATTTGTGAGCATTAGTAAGGTCTCTGTGTAAATATGTATGTATGTCTATCTCAACACCTAATGTTAAAATTCAGACTGAATTATCAGATACAGAAATGTCAAAGGTTAGTATTATCTCCACTTTTAAGAGAGGCTTGTGAGATCTGTAAGATAATGAAAGCACATATATATGTCTAGAACATAAGACTATATATAGTCCAAGCTCAATCATTAGGCAGTGGAAGGAATTAGGCAAAAGACCTGGATGTCCTGAAGTAACATCAGATTGTTGATTTGTTTTTTATTACATTTTTACTGCTAGGGATTGAGAGGAGAGCTTATGGGATTTTCATTTTCCCATACCATAATAATTTTTCTGCCTTTACGATAAGGATGGGGGAGGATGCCACCTCGGACAGCAAAATGTCTTGGGTTGGCTTTGAACATATTATAAAATGCAGGAATGTGACATTCATTTTCCATAATGCAAGCTTTTAAAGTTTGAAAGATACCCTCCAGGCCTGCTTCCTTCTCCAGCATCTGCTCCATTCATCTGCTAGGAGAGCAGATAACAAGGCCTCAGCAGTTGGCATCATTCAAAGAATGACTCAGACAGGCCTTATGTCCCATCAGCTAACTGCAGGAACATGTCCCTGAACTGGAATGCAAGTGCCAATGTGCTCCAAGTCTATGTTGCCATTCTCCAAAGTGATATTGCACTAGAGAAACCCGTCATTTTGATTTCTTTCATCCTGACATGATGCATGAGTTGAATAGCGATGAGCTTGTTGGCTTTTCAAACTGCAAGGTATTGTCAAGAGCAGCAGGAGCCGTACCTGGCAAGATTCTGATCACAGTCAACGTCAACACATTCCTCGATGAATTTTTCATTTTCTCAAACAAGTGACAGTATTTTGCATTTAGTACCAGCAGAGCGAAAGGCTTTGATAACGGCATGGATTCCACGAGTGCAAAAGCACAAAGAAAATGCTTGCTTGCTGTAAAAACTCTAACAGGGAATGTCAATTTACTCCGCATTCTCAAAGCAAATATTCAGAGAGGAGAGAGAGAAAAAACAATGTTTTCTGAATGATTTTTGCCTGTGGGTTTCCCCGCTTGTTTACATACACGGCTGGAAAGAAACTGATCTGGTTGTAGCTCTCGCAGGATAAAATGAAATCTTGCTGCAAGAATCTCTGTTGATACCAGAAGCGGAATCGAGGTGACTCACTAATTAGATTCAGTCTAGTATACAAAAATGCCACCAGAGAAATCCAGTATGCATCAAGACAACACCAACAACAGTGTGCCTCCTCATACACTCATCTGGGGCACACAAGCTTCATGAAATAACCGGATGCTGCTCAGGACCACACACAAGTACACAGAGCTTGTCAAACTTCCTTTTTTGTCCTAATTACTCCCAGCAAACCTGGCAAGCATGATCAGTGAAGGATTCTGGGAGCTCTAGTCAGGAAAAGTACATTTTCTTAGAGAAGACATACATTAAGATCTTTGATAACCTCTTGTTAGAGCATCAGCTGGAAGATTCATACAATTCCCAGCCACATGGATCACATCATTGTATAGGTTTTATACTGTGGGGACTGCAGAAGGTAGGTATGAGTTGTATTTTGCTCATGTAATTGAATATTTTTTGCCTTCTGTCTTTTATAGCCACCTTTTACAATAAATATAAACAGCTCATGATAAGTCTCCAAACTGGGCAAGGCTGAGCTTGCAGGGAGGAGGGGAAGGACACTACACCTGAAAAATGAGGTGGGGGTAAGACCCACATCTTTGCCCTTGAAAAAATACCTTCTATTTAAAGATCTTTCTGGAAGCTATTTATTTTATTTCTGAAACTGGCTAGGAGAACAAAAATGTGTCAATGGTACCAATGATGGGATGGGGCTTTCTTAAGCTTTCTATCAGAAAATCACCCCCTTTTCAAGTAACTTATGTGCTGCTCAGATAATTCACCTTCCTTTTAATCGCCATATTATTAACACAGTAAGGGAAGTAAGATAATATAGTGTGTCTCTTACTCACTCGTTGCCCCAGTCCAAGCGGGCAGTGATGTGTCGTTTCACATCCTTCATCCTATCATGTGTGAGATGTCCCACCAAGACCTGCCGTCGCAGGTCTAGGATTTCATTCATTATGTGCCACAATCGGTGAAAGAGATCCCCTTCGTTTCTCTGTCAAAAACATAATGACATTCTTAGATTGCCAAGATTGTTAAGTTAGATATAAATGACTCTTGCTATGTCGGTTCCAAAACGTTTTTTTTAAAACTGAAGATCAATTTTTATTGCTGTATGAGGCTACAACCTAAGTTAATTCCATCCAAATAAAGCCTATTTTTCATCTGTTCATAATCCATTACATCTTGGTGAAGGTAATGCTTATTCTTGATTAGGTTTGCTTCCTCTCTCCTCTTTATTGTGCATGTGTGTATTTTACAGGGAAAAGGCAATGTGTACTTACAGCAAATATTTTCCCTGTTCTTGCCCTATCTAACTCCTTGTTACAGTTGGCTTCCTCATTCATCCATTTGTTTATAGACCGAACTGATAAACAAGTACTTTGAAGTACTATGAACAAATAAAAATAATTGATCTCTTTGCTTGGAATTCAATGGAAGGGCATATGTTTTGCATGCCAAAGGTCCAAAATTCAATCCTCACTCAACATAGACTGGGGAGAGAACCATGTGGTCTTCCAGAGGTGATGAGAGCTCAGTTCCCAACAATCTTCTGCAAAACGTAAGCTAGCTAGGAATTGCAGTTCTGCAACATCTGAAGGACCATGTGATTCTCAATCAGTGTACATTGTGTTGGTGCTCAGCTAGAGGAAATCCTGCTCTGACTTTTAATACAGTCTCTGGCATTCTTACTTCTTTTGAAAGCAGATAAGCTACTTAATGCCTGTCATGTACTACCACTTGAGTTGATCTATCTCCTTTCTGCCTAAATATGAGTCAGTTTTAAATTCTAAAGGGATACATGGGCAAATAAATTTTGTTCTTATTGCTTTAAGTGGCTTGCAATCTAGGGAAACATTCAGGAGAACTTATCACAGTGTTTTTGTGGCAATTACATTCCTCAGATACTCAGTATGACATGTCCAAGGTCACCACTGGGTTTCATGATCAAGTGGTCAAGTGCTCAAACCACTACACCATGCTGGTTCTTACAAATATATTTGTCTCAGCCAAAAAAAATTGACAAAAGATGTCATTAATCTTGGAATATCTGCAGATGACATAGTAAGGAAAATAGATCAGGACACAACAGAAGCAAACACTTCTGAGCTATTTTGATTTCAATCATATGATTCCATTCAAATGCAGCCACTGACACTTTCTAATAAACTTTATGATCTCATATAAGAAGGGCTGTGCATGAAATGACATGAAGAAACAACACCAACTGGTCATTTTGCTCTGTTTCTATGATCTTCAATATTTTATGGAAGGTAAAGGTAAAGGTTTTCCCCTGACATCAAGTCTAGTTGTGTCCAACTCTGGGGTGGTGCTCATCTCCATTTCTAAGCCGAAGAGTCGGCGTTGTCCATAGACACCTCCAAGGTCATGTGGCCAGCATAACTCCATGGAGCACCATTACCTTCCTGCCAGAGCGGTACCTATTGATCTACTCACATTTTAATGTTTTTGAACTGCTAAGTTGGCAGAAGCTGGGGCTGACAGCGGGAATTCATGCAGCTCCCAGGATTTGAACCTGTGACTTTTCAGTAAACAAGTTCAGCACCGCAGCGGTTTAACCCACTGCGCCACCGAGGGCTCCTCTTTTATGGTAGGCATAAAAATAAAGGAAATGTGGCTATCTCCATTTTCGGCATCCACTGTTGTAGTTGTGAGCCTTTAAGTACTTTCTGACTTATGGCAACCTTAAAGCAGATCTATCATGGAGTTTTCCTGGAAAGATTTGTTCAAAGGGGGGCTGCGTTTGCTTCCTCTGAAGTTAACAGAATACACATGACTTTCCTATGGTCATTCAGTGGGCTTCCATGGCCAAACTAGGATTCAAACCCTGGCCTCCACAATCATTGTCCAATGCTCAAACTACTTCATTGTTCAATGCTCAAACTACCTTGTATAATCTAGAGCAGGGATGGACAATCGCACTGGGGTAGACCCTCCTCCCCCTGAAAAACCCCTTTTTATCTTCTGTTTCTCCTTCAAAATGGCAACTAGAAGAGATGTTGCATTACTTTTTCTTGTCATTTTGAAGGCACATTATAGGCACAGAAGAGAGAGAAATAGAAATGGTGGTAATGGAGGGGGGGAGCCCCCGGTGGCGCAGTGGGTTAAACCCCTCTGGCGGCAGGACTGAAGACTGACAGGTCGCAGGTTCGAATCCGAGGAGAGCACGGATGAGTTCCCTCTATCAGCTCCAGTTCCTCATGCAGGGGATATGAGAGAAGCCTCCCTCAAGTATGATAAAACCTCAAACCATCTGGGCGTCCCCTGGGCAATGTCCTTGCAGATGGCCAATTCTCTCATACCAGCAGTGACTTGCAATTTCTCAAGTCGCTCCTGACACGACAAAAAAAATGGAGGGAGGAGTCACTGCTCCCACATTGTGGAATTACCTTTACCAGGAGGTCTAGTTTGTTTCCTTCCTGTTATCTTTTCTTTTTATTTAAGAAGGAACTTTTCTGTATGCACTATTTTCAAGCAACATTCAGCTGGAAAAGTTCTTATTTTAATATTTTTACATTTTGTGCACAATTCCAGGGGCTATAGGGGACTGGGGCATCTATAAATTGGAATGGCATGTGATCCCCTGGTCGTACATTTTCTATACAATATCTAGAGCAGTGGTTTTCAACCTGTGGGTGCCCAGATGTTTTCATCTTCTACTCCCAGAAATCATAATAGCTGGTAAACTGGCTGGGATTTCTGGAAGTTGTAGGCCAAAACACCTGGGGACCCACAGGTTAAGAACCACTGATCTAGAGGCTTTCCCACATCTGCTGCTGTATTTAAGTATTTTCACAGAAATATGGTAAAATCAGAAAAGATTTACACCCATGGTTCAAGAAAAGGTCTGTTTCCAAATGCCTGAAACCTACTTCAACTCACAACTCCAGCACACAATTTTGGGATACGCATGGGATTCGTACTTTTGATTTTTACTTCAAAATGTGTTAGGCGGTCATCCCTAAAAGCACCATGTCCCACTTTGAAGAATCAAGGTTATATTTTTCAAGCTACTTTTGTGCATCAAAGTGGGCTTTTTCTTTGTAAAAACATTTTCTTTATCTTGAATCAAAGTCCAAAGATGCACGACACCATTAAAATGCTTTTTGGTAACAAACCTTGCCTGCTAAACCTAAATCAGCAGACTGCAATGTTAATTTCTTGATATTATTATTAATATGCAGTTGAAATAGAAGATAACATACTTCATTTGTTCCTGTTATAATTCTTTCCCCCATTCATATTGTTTTCAAGAAAATATATGTCATTTCAGACTTTCTGGAATAGGATTCTTATATGTGAAGTGTTGCTGCTGCTATTACAGGTGTATTACCAATTCTATATAGTGGACTAAAGCCATATCTGCACTATTCAGTAACATCAGTTTCATAATACTTTGGGTGTCATATCTTCACTTGAAGAAATATCCAACCCCTTTAAGTGTTTGTGGGTCTCTCTAGGTTCTCCATTGTGGTTCTATGGTATTCTTCTGGCCTAAATATGGTCAAAAGATACGGTTCCTATTACTCATAGTCTCAGGTATTCATAGGGATTCTTGGATTGTATGCCATGTAGATACAAGGGTCATACTACACTCTGGGAATTGTGGTTCATGGGGTACAATAAGAGAATACTCCAAGGTTATTTATAATGAAACCTGTCAGTCAAAGTAATATGGAACTGACATTTCTATACAATGTAGATATACTTAAAATATAACTTATAGAACTCAGCAAACTGGATGAACTTTCCTTTCTTAAATCAGCAGTGTGTTAAAAAAAAGTATGTATTCGATTACATAACACACAAAACAGTATATAAACAAATCTAAGTATTTCATATCCACCATTCATTTGGGCACACTCTATTTAAAAATCAGAGGAACAGAAAAGAGCTCTGTGTATATCATGAATGATATTGCTAGTGAAATGTGATAACAAAAAGGGAAACCATGTGTTTAAAAAACACAAACTGTTCTGATTAATTTTGGTGTGTTTGAGGAGCAAACTAGAATCTCAATTATCTTTCTGACGTTATCTCAAATTAAATCTCTTAAAAGAAAGACAAATATTTTAATAGGAGTATCTTGGGATTTGGACACATCCTAAACCCAAATCCTTAATTAGGCTCACTCAGACACAGATGTCTGATTCAAAGCCTAAGTCCTTCAAATTGCCCAGACTCTGAACAACCTTGATGTTTTTTAACTATAATTATTTACCACATAAAGTTGTTTCCACATTGTGCCCCAGTCTCTTAAAGTTGATGTCATCTCTGTAATGACAGAATCTTCCGTTGGAACAACCATTTCAAATTGCCTGTTAGAATCAAAAGATATAAGGTGTCAAAAAAGCATTTTAAGCAATGTATTATTTTAAGCAACACTGCTGTCATTAAACTTAAAAGAAACCATTCAAACTGGGATTTCTGGTCCTACATAGAATTTCCTTCCGTTCTCCGTCTCTTGAAAACAATATCAAACCCAACAAACCATTACGTTATGTGAGGTCAGGGCAGGACAAAAACATAGGATTGGAAGAGGCTACAAGGGCCATCCAGTCCAGTCTGCCATGTAAGATGGCCATCCACTCTCTGTTTAAACTCCATCAGAAAAGGAGACACCACCACACTACGATGCAACGTTTGAACATTGCTTACTGTCAGGAATATTTTACTAATGTTCTGGTGGAATCTCCTTTCCTATAGTTTGAATGCATTCCTCCATCTCCTAGCCTCTGGAGTGGTGGAAAACAAGCTGGCTAAATCTTCAAGATGACATCCTTTCAAATATTTAAACATGGCTATCATGTCACCTTTTAGCCTTCTTTTGTCCAAGTGAAACATACACAGCTCCCATGGCTTTTCTTCATGGGGTATGGTTTCCAAATCTTTTAACATTTTACGTAGTCACTCCCCTCTGGACACTGTGACTTGTCTATATCCTTCTTGAATTGTGATGCCCAGAACTGGACATAGTATTCCATTTGAGGTCAAACCAAAGCACAATAAATGGTATGATTATTTCCCTCAATCTAGACACTATACTCCTACCAATGTAACCTAGAATCAAATTGGCTTTCATAGCTACCACCTCACACTGTTGTCTCATCTTCAGTTTGCGATCTACTAATACCACTAGATCTCTTTCACACATACTATTCTCAAGCCAGGTATCACTCATCCTACATCTGTGCATTTAATTTCTTCAGCCTAAGTGTAAAACCCTACACTTCTCCCTGTTAAAATGCATTTTATTAGTTTTGGCCCAAGTTTCCAACCTGTTTAGAACAGTGGTTCTCAATCTGTGGGTCTTCAGATGTTTTGGCCTTTGATTCCCAGTAATCCTAACAGTTGGTAAACCGGCTGGGATTTCTGGAAGTTGTAAGCCAAAACAACCCGGAGACCCACAGGTCGAGAATCACTGGTTTAGACCATTCTGAATTATAATCCTGTCCTCGTGATTAGCTACCCATCCTAATTCATATAATCTGTAAAATGTTGAATGTCTTCCTCCACATCTCAGAGAAGGCTTGCTTACGAGATACAGGGCTGGCAGAGCTCTGCTTTTAATATGTGAAACCACTCTGTGCCACTCAGTATCAGCCTGGGAAAGCTGTCTCACTTTGCCTCATGGTGGGGCCAGCCCAGTGTTGATGACTCCATAGCAAACAATCACTGCACTGAAACATCAAGCATTCTTCTACGATCAGCTTGGTTCATGCTGCCTTTCGGAAGTAGCATCAAGTAACGTCCCAATTTTGGGACTAAGCTACAAACTGTAATTAATTGGAATTGACCCTTTCCATTAACAAATATTGCAGAGTTGGCAAGCTATGGTCCATTCAGCTGCAGTCTATTTAGCCCTGTGTAAATTATGTTAATCACCAGTAATGCTTTCACTCCAGCAGGGCGGATGTATTCAGACTGTTGTAAGAAAAAGAAAGAAAGAATCCCGTGGCAGCTTAGAGATTAACATTTGTTGATCACACATCCACAGCAAACACAAGCTGCCTGCTTCTTCTAATCATGGATAGGGGATCAAGGGCTTGCAAACCCCTTCCCATCCCCCATATGAAATGCAAACACACACACGCACACACACCTTATTTATCAAGTTCAGAACTGTGCATTGCCACTGCTGTTGTTTTATCTATATTTGGTTAGATTTAAAAACCAATTTCCAATATTTAACACAATTAGAAGAAATAAAATTGTCACTGAACCATGGTTAGCTTCAAAAATCGAAAGAGGTTAAGATGGGATGGGGTAGGAAAACGCACAGGAAACTCCCTTCACAAGTTATTTGATGTGCCACAGGCATTTTTCTTGGTCCAGTATTTTTATCTTCCTCCAGCATGCTTACTTCATCAATCCACATTTTCCACACAGCCATTTAACATTGGCTAAAACCACGGAGCTCAGAATCTCAACCTACCCTTTATTCTTAACACACGCATTTTTCAAGTGAATGTAACTGGATGGGAAGATACCCTGTAAGAGAAAAACAGTTCACTAAATTCAAGAAACATCCAAAAGCAGAGAATGGAAATGAGAATAAATGAAGCATATGCATATGTCTGTACATTTGTGAAAAACACAGGCACACTCATTTATGACTGAAATAAAACACACTAGTGGAGAGCAAATTGTCCTGGGACTTCATGTATTTATGTCAGTTTTAGGAGACGTTCAAAATATGTGGTGTTTTTATGTGACGGGGAGGCGGGGTTGCAGTGGTCTATAGAGATTCCATCCATCTGACCAGGAGCCCCATCCCGCAGACCACAAATTTTGAATGTGTCCACCTGAGGGTGGGTGACCGGGACAGAATAGGGATTCTGCTAGTGTACCGTCCACCTCGCTGCACTACAGTCTCCCTACCTGAGCTAGCGGGGGTAGTCTCGAGCCTGGCATTGGAGTCTCAACGGCTTCTGGTGCTGGGAGACTTCAATGTCCATGCCGAGGCGACCCTCACAGGAGCGGCTCAGGACTTCATGTCCGCCATGGCAACCATGGGGCTGTCCCAACAGATATCTGGCCCCACCCATTGTGCTGGACACACATTGGACTTGGTTTTCTGCCAGGGATGGGAGCAGGGTGGCGGTGTGGAGGAGTTGTCTATCTCTCCGTTGCCATGGACTGACCACTTCCTGATCAGATTTAGGCTCACTGCGCCCCCTAACCTCCGCAAGGGTGGAGGACCCATTAAGATGGTCCGCCCCAGGAGGCTTATGGATCCTAATGGATTCCTGACGGCTCTTGGGGATTTTCCCGCCTCCTCGGTAGGTGACCATGTCGAGGCCTTGGTCGCTCTCTGGAATGGGGAGATGGCCAGGGCAATTGACATGATCGCTCCGGAACGTCCCCTCTCAAGTAGCCGAGCTAAACCAGCCCCTTGGTTTACTGAGGAGCTGGCAGTGATGAAGCGAAGGAAGAGGGAACTAGAGAGCGTGTGGCGTTCGGACCCAAACGAGTCAAATCGAGCACGGTTTGTGTCCTTTTTAAGGGCATATGCCGCGGCAATAAAAGCCGCAAAGAAAACTTTCTTTGCGGCCACTATTGCGGCTGCAAAAAACCGTCCGGCGGAGTTGTTTCGGATTGTCAGAGGTCTTTTAACTCCCGCCACCTCAGGCGGGAGCCCTGACAATTCGGTCACGCGCTGTGAAGCATTTGCTCGGTTCTTCGCAGACAAAGTCGCTTTGATCCGTTCTGAGCTGGACACCATGTTAAATGCAGTCTCCGTGGATGTGACAAGAGCACCTGCTTGTCCTATTTTGATGGATTCTTTTCAGTTTGTGAAACCCGAGGATGTGGACAAGATACTTGGAGGACTGAGGCCCACCACGTCCATCCTAGACCCCTGCCCATCCTGGCTTCTGAAGGAGGCCAGAGGGGGATTGGCTGAGTGGGTAACGGTGGTGGTTAATGCCTCCCTGCGGGAAGGCAAGATTCCAGCGTGCTTAAAACAAGCAATTATAAAACCGCTGTTGAAGAAACCATCATTGGACCCCACTAAATTGGACAACTTTCGGCCTGTTTCCAATCTCCCCTTTTTGGGCAAAGTCATGGAAAGCGTGGTGGCCTCACAACTCCAGGTATTCTTGAGAGACACGGATATTCTGGATCCGGCACAGTCTGGTTTCAGACCGGGACATGGAACCGAGACAGTCTTGGTCGCCTTAGTGGATGATCTGCGCCGGGAGCTAGACAGGGGGAGTGTGTCCCTGTTGGTGCTCCTGGACCTCTCAGCGGCCTTCGATACCGTCGACCACGGTATCCTTCTGGGGCGCCTTGCGGAAATGGGTCTTGGGGGCACTGCTCTGCAGTGGCTCCAGTCATTTCTGGAGGATCGTACCCAGAAGGTGTTATTGGGGGACTCTGTTCAACACCACAGCCTTTGACCTGTGGGGTTCCACAGGGTTCTATACTGTCCCCCATGCTGTTTAATATCTACATGAAGCCGCTGGGTGAGATCATCCGAAGTTTCGGGGTGCGGTGTCTCTCGATCCCGCCTGCCTCACAGGCACGTCTGGCGGGGACGAGAGAGGGCCTTCTCAGTGGTGGCCCCCCGGCTGTGGAACGCCCTCCCTGCTGACATCAGACAGGCGCCCTCTCTCATGGCTTTCCGTAAGAGCCTAAAGACCTGGCTCTTCGAGAAGGCATTTAACTAGTCCCAGACTAACTGATAATGACAATGACAATCGGAACGAAATACGGATTATGAGACTGGTAGATCCCTATGTGGTGACGGTGCGGATTAGTTTAGTGTAATTTAGATTAAGCGTGTTATATGGTTTGTTGATATACTCTGTGTTTTTTGTAAACTGTTTTTATATGTTGTACACCGCCGCGAGTCGCCCTAGGGCTGAGAGCGGCGGTCAACAAATGCATTAAATAAATAAATAAATAAATAAATTCTGGCAAATTAGTTACTGGTGAAAACCAGATTGTAGGTTCTGATTATACTACAACCTGATTACAAATCATGCACAGCAATGGAAAAATTATCTCCTCACCAACCATGCCATGAAAGGTGGGTATTAGGAAACCCAAGATTGGATTTTCTTCTATTTTGAGCTTTACCTTACACTCCTACTACTATGTCACTATGATTCCATTTTAGCAGCAAGATATCCTCAGATCTGCAGATTGCTGAGGCATTAGTGAATTCTAAATACACCTCTCTAAATTGCAAATCCCATATTCCCTAGGGCAGTTACAGTGGTATCCTAGTACTATCATAATACTGTAGCTGTGTAATGTGAAAAAGCTCCTGTATTAACCAGAGTATCAAGGTAACAAACAGAAGGAATCCATGAGTAATTTTTGCTCTGGAATACTTATTCAGTTTATTGATAATCTGACTCCCCAAGTTCTCCTGGGCCTAGTTGTACCGGACAACATTTGTGTCATGCAACATCCTGCTTGCTACTTGATTTCATAGAAATATAGCATCCAACAAGTGACAATACAATCCTCCTCACCAAAACCAAATGCGCAGGGCAATATTAGTGAGGAATTTGCATTTAAACTACAGTTGCCAAAGGTATCTGCTACATTTAAGATGTTCAAGTTCCTATACAGTAAGACTCATATCTAGAGGAGATGTGTTCCTGGCTAGACCAGTTACCTGAAACAGTGAATACAACTGAACACCATTAACATACTTGACTTCTGGTCCCAAGATTACATGAGATTTCACATTGAAGAACCTAGCATTGGAGGACCGAAATATTACTAAAGAAGTATCTTTTCCAGAAATCTGCTAGGTCTTCCAACACAACTCTATCATAATTTCCAGGGAAAGCATATCATATAATCACCGAGAAGACCTAGGGAATTCCTAGAGAGACCATTTCCCCCTAGATGTAGTTAAGTATGGTTGGGTTGCTGTGAGTTTTCTGAGCTGTATGGCCCTGTTCCAGAAGCACTCTCTCCTGGTGTTTTGCCCACATCTATGGCAGGCATCCTCAGAGGTTGAGGGATCTGTTGTACTTTGTTTCTCAGAAGTCTCTGTCTTTTGTGCCAGTTAAAACCACTATCATTTTTTCATGGGTTACAACTCCTTTTATGTTTTAAGACTGATGATTGCATTTTGTTATGCATGACAATTTATGTGTTGTGTAACAGTTCATTGATCTATCTACCTATTCACTGCATGAAAATTAAAATAGAAACAAGAATAGTTTACCTTGAGATTTGGATTTTTTAAGGCGAATCCTCTGTACCAGCCTACGAATAAATGACAATCATTATAAACTTTCATTTATTTGTAAATTAGAATGTCTCATAGATCTAAATATAATTCTTAATCCCAGCTACAGTAGATTCATTAAAGGAATGGAAATGAATAAACAGAAACTTAGTGATGTCACTAAGACAGATTTTACCCAGTACAGTAATTCACACTGTATCACCAATGGTCTTCCTCCTGTACCAAAAATGCAGAATCTATAGTAACATTCTTATATTACTCATAAAACATTGCTTGTAAATTTTACAAAATTATCAACTATTAAAACCAACAGCAACAAAACAACAGCACATATTTCTAGTATGTGTAAACAAAACCACGTGATCTAATGCATCTTTTTCTTGTTTTCTGGACAGTATGGGAGTTTTTTCCAACTACTACTGTCTATCAGTAATTTTTTTTTATTAGCAAAGCCTTGTAAAGGAAGGATCTACCAGTAGCAAAAGACCTCCCCCCTTTCAAATATAGCATATCACTGCATAATAGTCACATTTTATGCCTTTTTAGTTGGAAGGGGGTGCGACTATTATGTGATGAAAAAAATGAGTTTGGGTTTGTTGGTCTCTGAGTTGTGTGTGTGTGTGTGTGTGTGTGTGTTTTTTAAAAAACTGTCTTAAATCCAAGATGAAGAGGATGAAGAAGGGAGAGCTCAGGAGGGAGGGAAAGGCAGGAGGGAAAGATTTGGTTTGTTGTTTTTTAACTATCTAACTATCCGCGATGATCATGAGGGACCAAGAAAACAAGGTGTGAGGCTTATGTTGTGGTGATAATTATGTGGTGAAACACTGTCCCAGAGCTAGGAGGGGCTGAATCAAGAGATAAAATAAAACAATTCTTCAGGTATGTGGCGTTCTAATGCTAAATCCTTTTTTATCCAAAACACATACGTACTTAACATTTTCTTGAAATATATTTTTAAATTAATTTACTAATTTAGTTATGCTTGATTTCTTGTCCCACAAGTCTGGATACTTACGTGGGAAAGAGATGAGACATATATTAGGCTATATTTGGGTATACATTTGGGTTGGTAACAATGTACAGATGTTGCTTTCCTCACTCACAGGAGCCATATGGTTCCCACAACAAACATGGTTGCCTTTTCCGGGAGAACTGACTTGATCTGAAATGCTGCATGAATTTTATTACCGGATTATTGTTCTCTTCATTCTATAACCTTTTGGTCATCAAAGCTCAGTTTGCACAAAACCTATAAAAGCTACCAATTCCTGAATCAGTATAGCTATTGGGTTCCGTAACTTTTACAAGCTCTGTTTTTTAGCTGCATTTTTCTATTTAGGCGGATTATCCTCTACAACAAACATTTAGTTCCTGCACTAGCATAACTACACAAGATGACCTTGAGCAATCTTCCCCACCTGACAATTGTGTACCAATGTCAACACTTACCATCACATTTCTCCAGTATTTGTACAGTGTCTCCAATCTCCAGTGATAAGCCATGTGGGACTGCTCCTCGAAAACTTGCAATTACTGAAAGAGATATTAAATTCCAATTAATCATAATGTTTTTAACAAGCGACATGTTTGCTATTATACATTCACGCTGCAAGGAACAGCACAACAATACTTCTATAAGCTGCATATTGCTGTAAGCTATATCAGTTATAAATATCATATCACAGGGATTATTAGCAATAACCTATTTTTTCTCCTTATTCTTCACAATCTGGGACAGAGTGCTTAAGATTTGGAACAGGGAGTAGTGTATATGGGAATGGTAGAAAAATTGTTATTCTGGAAACAGCTTCAAAAGTGCATGATATATTTTATAATGAAAGTCTGTAGCACTGTACTTGGGTATATTGTGGCTCTTCTATACATCCAGACAGGTTGCATTTTAAAATAATAAAGAAGAGTAGAAACATTTCACAGAGCACCCCATGGACAGATAAAGCTCCTCAATCAGGAAGTACAGTTAGCCTCCACATTTTCTGGGGTTAGGAGCACAGAACCCCCATAAAAGTGAAAACTCAATGAAGAAACTGCCATAGCAGAGCACCTGATGAATCAACCTGCAAATAGCATATCATTTGAGAACACAAAAATGATGGACCACTCTAACAACTACCATGTCAAGCTACACAGAGAAGCCACTGAAATCCACAAGCATGTGGACAATTTCAACAAAAAGGAAGAAGCAATGAAAATTAACAAAATCTGGCTACTAGTATTAAAAAACTCTAAAATTATAACTGTAATTTGGAGGATAATGATCTTTTGATGAGAACAACACTCAAAAACAGGGGAACTCCAGACAAGAAACAATCAGGGACAGCGAATCACCTCTCAGCAAAGGATTCCCCCAGGCAGTAACAAGCCACACACACACAAAAAGCTGTCAGGCCATCAAATGCTAATCAAGGTGGCCAATTTAACATTCACACCTACCTCCAACAGACAAGATTTTTTCTCCCACCCTGGACTTTCTGCAAGGACGTTGCCCAGGAGATGGACAGATGCTTTGATGTTTTGCCCCATTTTCCTAGTTTCCAACAGACCTCACAACCTCTGAGGATGCCTGCCATAGATGCAGGCAAAACGTGAGGAGAGAATGCTTCTGGAACATGGCCATACAGCCCGAAAAACCTACAACAACCCAGTGATTGCAGCCACTAAAGCCTTCGACAATACATCAATGAAGAAATCCTATACAGATTTCTATGTCTTCCAGTATGACTCTATGGTTGATGTCTACTGAAAGCTGACCATAGAATCGCATTGGCAGACCTAGAGATTCCCGGAGAAGTGTTCTCTCTAGAAATCTTTAGGTCCTTAAGCAAGACCACAGGAAGCTGACTATAGAATCGCACTGTAGGACCTAGAGATTGAGCATTTTAATCAAAACAATCAAAATCAAATTAACAAAACTCAAACCCACAGATGTCGAAGGACAACTATACGTTCTATGTCCCAGATCATGGATGTGATTTCTCCCATACACACATTAGCCACATGTTTTACACCCTTCTATGTCAAAATATAAATAAGAATGTATCAGCTCAAAAGAGTATAAGTACAGATTTCTCCCAAAAATGTTCACATGATAGTTCTTAGGTATAGACACAAATTGAGAATTAATTTATGCTATTTATTTAAAGGGCAATGCATCTCACCATAGAGGGGAAGACTGGAACTAGGTGATTTGCATGTTTGCTCTCTGCTCTCCAGTGCTAATGGTGGAGTACCTCAGGGCCCTTGGTCAATCTTTCTGTGGCCTTTATTCTTTAAATCAGGGAGTTCTTTGAAAAGAAAAAAGCAGTGTGCCTTCAAACAATAGCCCATCTTCTGACAGTCCTTCCAATAGAGACCTGCCCAATGTGAAACAAAATACACACCAGGATGATGGATGTGGAGCCTGGGAAAATGCACTCTGCCCAGGAGCTCTCACCACTCACTGTCCTCTTTTGCAAGCTGACAATGGCTTTCTGAGGTATAAAAGCCTTTCAAGGCAAAACTGTACTATTTCCTTCAATGAACTAATAAATGCTTGTTTTTACCAGAGTCCTTCTAGCATTCTAAAATTAGCTAGCATAGTGTTTTAGCTGTGATTTCAAGTACATTACAAATCTTGACAGACTTTGTGGAAGTCTTTTTCAAAAACTATAAACACGGGAACACATGAATAATATTAGTAACCCAAGTTTTGATACATATTGCTATGCGGTATACTGGGTTGCGTGTTGGACTTGTATGCTGAGTGTCCTTGGGGATGTCACACTGTCAGCCTCAGGGGAAGGCAAACACCCTCTAAATAAGTCCCACCAAGAAAACCCTACAATAAGTTCATCTTAGGATCACTATAAATGAAAAATTATTTGAAGGCCCACATTATCAGCTCCAACAAAGTCTCCTTTTTTTTTTTTGTAGTGATCAAAGAGCCCCAGGGATGGGGCTCTCTTCTATTCAGTGGGGGAAGAGACACCGGCTATCTCCAGGGCTTGCTCTGCAGATTGCAGAGAGCACCACGGCCGAGTTGGCAGCAGAGGCAGAGATGGACAGGTTCTGGCTGCTCCAGACAGTGGTGACCTTGACATCTCAAGTGGAAGAGCTGCGGTTGAGACAGCTGGCAGTGTCTGTTGGAAGCTTCTCTTCTTCTAGATAGTGCTGTATCTTCTGTAGATTCTCTGCCATAAACCTCCACTTGTTCATAGCCGGAGGGGGCAGGGGCTGCCTGGGGATGATCCTTCGGTGTGTGCTCCCTGACTGGGTGACCACCAGGCAGGAGGCGGGGAAGGAGCCCATCACCAGGCCTTTTGGGCAATGACCCTGAAGCCTCCAGAGAGTATGAATAAGTTCTCAAAGCCCCATTAGCATATGGTGGTGGCCACTTGACTGGCCATTCTCTCATCATCATTGTAGAGGATAATGATCTTTCGATGAGTATTATTGTATTCCTAAATGTCGTTTGTATAGAAATTCATGGTTCTGGATAGTGTAGCAATGGGCTAGGAGTATGTTCCCACTATCTGACACTGGTCATAGGCATCCTGCTCTCACGCGTAGAGCAGCAGGAAGGAAGCACCAACAAAATCTTGATACAGGAAGTTGGGGTTTTTGATCTGATAAATGCAATAAGAGGCAAGATAATCTTGATCACCCTGTGCCTTTGTACAATTATTTCAAAGTAGTTACATGTATTTTTAATATTTACAACAAAATGAGTAGAAGAGGACAAAGTGTGATCTTTATTTGAACATTAGGCAATATGTTTATTTTTGGATTGGCCAAGGAGTGTGGTAACAGTCTGGACCAAGTCTTCTGCTAGCCTTCATAGTCTGTAGAAGAGAGAACAGCCAGAAACTAAAATCAGTGACTGTATGTTGCTCAATAGATGAAACATTGAGAGCAGGCAGAATGAAAGGAAATCCATCAGACTGGCTGAAAAAGCAAAACTCCAAGAAGGAGGAAGCAGCTGTGGAATTGCAGATGTGCTGGGAGAATTACTTATCAGCCCAATCAAGGAACTGCAATGATCTTTCAAGTCTCAGCTACATGACAAATAGTCTTTAAGATACCAGCTGCTCTCTCAAAGACACTGTTTGTAAGCCCCACAGTTGGAAGGGAAGCTGGGCAGCATGCAAGGTCAGTGGCGCCATTAAATTGTAATCCTGAAGGCACTTCCTCTTAAGACTCCCAGCTAAGAGCCAAGGAAAACAAGTACTTTTACAAAAAAACGTCTTGGAAGAAACATGCTTGAAATTGCCCATTCTCAAAATAAACACAGTCATTACATTTACACATAGTGGCAATTGAAAAGAATGCTTCTATGCACTAAAATAGAAAGAAGGAAGGAAAAAGAAGAAAAAAATTATGCTTTTGTGGCTATTGCCTCTACTAATGAAGTGTGTCTGACATGACAATGAAGGCAGATCAAAATATAAATCTGCATGATATAATGGTAGAGTCTAATTTTTCAGCAATAGTGGAGGAAGGTAGATACTAGGAAAAGGAAGATGTTTCAGCTGAGAAAGGATGGGTTCAAGGGCTTGCTCTTTGATGTCAAATTGTAAAAACACAGCAACTTGGACACTAAGATAAGTGAAAAGAGGAAGTTCATGAAGGAACAATTTCTATTCTCTGCTTGCCCTTCAGCTGCCAGTGTAACCTTCACAATCCCACACCCAACAAAGTTTCTCCAGGGAATCAGGGCAAGCCCCTTGGAACAATGTGGATGGGGAGTAGACACCCTTCCCTTAACTTCCCTCTATTCATTTATCTTAGGATTCATTCCAGGGCATTTCAAGAGCACTAGTTTTTTCCCCTAACCCACAGAAAGGCTGTTTAACCACAGAACTACAGAAGGGACACAGAATAACATATGACGGTGATAATGACTATTGCCTTGGACCGCGAGAAGATCCAACCAGTTCAGGAAATAAAGCCCGACTGCTCATTGGAGGGAAAGATATTAGAGGCAAAGATGAAGTACTTTGGCCACATCATGAGAAGACAGGAAAGCTTAGAGAAGACAATGATGCTTGGGAAAATGGAAGGAAAAAGGAAGAGGGGCCGACCAAGGGCAAGATGGATGGATGGATGGTATCCTTGAAGTGACTGGCTTGACTCTGAAGGAGCTGGGGGTGGTGATGGCCGACTGGGAGCTCTGGCGTGGGCTGGTGCATGAGGTCACAAAGAGTCGGAAGTGACTGAACAAATAAACAACAACAAAGTGACTATTCAAAAAGCAAATGAATGCATGGATTGAACATGTTACCGTTCCATTTAATTTTTCATAACAGTCATCCTTCAGGATGTGGAGAAAGTCAAGAGAAGTTAAAATAATTTCTGACATGCTGTTGGCCTACTAAGCTACTAGTTGTTCTATCCATTGTCATATTATACTGCTTTTCAAAAATGCATTTAATATATTCAACTGGCCCTATTTCTTGGCTTCAGGATCAGCTTCAGTAATGTTGCAACTGCAATCAACCTTCTGTATCCACCAATTCTGAATCCACCGATTCCACCTC